ACCGCTCTACAAAGGGCTATCGAGCAGAGGGCGAAGCATATCGAGATGGCAGTTGGTGTTTCTCTCTTTTCTTTCTTTCATCTCTTCTTTTTATTCCGCTTATCCGACGTTTTCTCGCCATTGCTCGCGAATAAGATGAGTCACAGTCGGTAATGGAGGTCTCTGTTTTAGCTGGAACAGTCGCAGCCAACGACGGAAGCACCGAGCAATCTTTTGGTAACGGCGAGAGCGAAACTGAGACCGCGCACGGATTCGCAATGAAATGGCGTGAAAGAGAGAACGCAGAAGGAAAGGTCGATCGTGAAACTCGATGAGTATGTACGTCGTGCGGGAGAGCAACGATTGAAACGTTGCGTCGCGACGCGGATTTTCCTCACATTTTCAAACTTCATCCTGTACATATACGTCTAATCTGCTGAGAATTCGTTACGAAGCAAAGATTGTACGATTCGTCGTTAGAGGTACAGCGTTCTGATCCGCCATGCGTTAAACGATGTGTTACAAAAATGCGATGAGAGAAAAAGGAACCGAAAAATGGAACAAAAAGGAAAAAGAATAGATCGTGTCTATCGATAGATTTATTGATTCGAAGTAATATTTAATCGCGATACGCTTCGTCACTTGTGCGCCTTTCGTGTTAAAAGTAGATAATTGCCTTACTCTTCCAAAGTTCTCAGAGAGCGCAGATGCGCACATCGGACGATTCGATTCGTCTTTTAAGCGACGTTAGTCTCGTTAGATAGTCTAGCTGTAATCGCTGTTTCCCACGATGTCCGTGGAAGCGACGCGTATTTGAAACAATTTATATTCGCATGCGTGTTCGAACAAGGCCTTTTCAAACGCTAAGTCTAGGGGTTGCCGATTCGAACGATGTAGCAAAAACTATAACGAGTTAGGGTCATGAATAACGACGCGGTATAATCCACTGCGTCCTCGTTACTTCTTCGTCGTTGTCTAGTTATCCGAAAAGGATTATAGTATCGAGATTCGCAACAAACAGGCCTTCGCAGTGCGCCTTGAGAAGAAAAGATAGCTTACTTGATCGTCGAGTCGATTTCATATTTTGTTACGTGCTCGAGTTTTTCAGAGCCCCCCCGCCCCCTCTTCCCTCTTGTAAGGACAAAAATACCATTAGAATAATTAAGAGAGACCAGTCGTGAATAGCATAGAGGAGAATTTAAACGAATATGTGCAAAATGTAAGTGTCCGACGTTAGCTTATTATCGTGCCTGAATTTATACCAAGACTAGACCTGAATAACATAGTATTGACAGTTTTGTCACGATAGACGGAATAGTAGAATCGATACCCTGGGACCATTGTACACCTCTAATAACTACTAACGGTTAAATGAGACATCCGATAGATTGGTATAGTAGCGTTTATTAAACTTCAGTATTTATAGTTCAGGAAAGGAATGAAATATATATTGTTGCACTATACTGTTTGATTCAACGTATTATAGGAACGTGATCATCGTTAATTCGAATTTAGCAAATTTTCTATTAATAACAATATCTTCTATCGTTTTGGAAATATAAGGAAAGTAATCGTGATATTCCGTAAATAATCGTAATGTAAAATTCTACGAAACAATAAAAAGACTCGTTAATAAGTTGACGTGTTATGCAAACGCAAACATAAACTCTAATGTTACGCGTCAGCTGCACTAACTTCTGACTTGTGCAAACCAATCGTAATATTTAAGACTATTATCACATTGGAGCAATTAAAATATTAAATATATTTTATTCAATGCCAATGACACACGTTTTCCATTTTCATTAATCTACGGCAAAGCAACGACAAACCTGTTAGAAAACGAACAAAACAAATATTGGTTACGCTAATGATACAACCTCGATTATACAACGATTCGTAAAAACCTTTTTACCTTATCCACGACCCAATATTAAAAAATAAAATAAAAAAATATGTGTCTTTCGTATTTTTAATATTATTTTACGTATTAATGAACGCTTCGTTCTGTCACGATTATGCTGTCTCTACCGACCGAATGGGAAAACAATGAATAAAATATCAATAGATCATGTATAATTAAATAATCGCGTTATTAATAATAACATTTATCGTCAATGTGATTTTGCATAAATCAGCTTGTACATTTTCAGATAGAGGATATAACGAATACATGTAACGCGATTCAAGAACAGTAGTCATTTTAGTAGTCATCTCCGCGAGAAATAACTTCTTTACATGTTGGACGTAGAACGAGAGTATGCTCGAATTGAGCAGTGTAACATCCCTTGACGTCGACTAAAGGTGGGTACGCCTCTACTGCACCTTTATCGCATAAATCCTTCAAAGCCATTTGATATTTCGTGCAACCTACACGATCTAACCATCGTTTGCAAAATGCCAAAGTACCTGTAACGAATAAACATCGTTTCGTTCGTTATTTTTCAAATTGATAAATTTAGCATCGAAACATATTGATAAGTTCATGTTTACCGAAATGCTTGTTGATAACGTTAAGTAGGGATTTACTACTTTGTAATCTTAACGGGACGAAACCGGCATCGAAACTTTTCATGTAATGAGAACAGTCTAAATCATCGTGAACGATTCCCCTTCCAGTAGATCCAAAAGTCTCGATTGCATAAAATTCATTCTCTTCCATTCTGGTAGCTTCGCCACCTTTAACTATCGGTACGGTTTTCCCAGCATGGATACGGTACGGAGCAATTGAATGACCGTTGAGATTTCTTATGGATTTTACCTATATATTAATCGACAATTATTAGTAATTACCTATAAAAAATCAGCAAATAATGAACAAGTAATAAACATACCGGATAAGTTTTGCCATCTAATTCGACTTCGTACGACTCGATGACTTCTTGAATCGCGGCACCAACATCGCATAGTTGAACGTCAATACCAGCGGCTTTAATCCCAGTGTTTGTAGCGTCACGAACCGCTTCGACGAGTTTGTCGTATTTCGGATTGAATATCAATGTAAATGCACAATCGATGATTCGACCGTTGATGTGCGTACCAAAATCTATCTTAGTAACATCGTTGTACTCCAAAACGGTTGGATCTCCGGCGTTTGGAGTATAATGAGCCGCGCAATGATTTCTGGAACAGCCAGTTGGAAATGCCAATCCAGCCTTTAGTCCATCTTCTCCTATCAATTTTCTAGCTGTATCTTCTAACTCGTTGCAAATTTCTATCATTGTCATTCCAGTTTTTACCTAACCCAATCAAATTTTTATACAAATTATTTTACTCTTCTCTGTTTTCTAATTACTTCCCAACCATTACATACCCATTTCATAATATGCTTTCTTGTTTGTCTGTGAGCTTCAGCTGCTTGCCTCGCTTCGTTATAAATATCATTATGCATTCTATCAAAAGCACGTGCTTCCTCGCTTGAAAAACGATTTTTAGCTGTTCTTTCATCTACTCCTGCAGCAGGAGGATGTTCCATTATTTGTCCTACTGGAAAGTTTCCATCTGGAAACAATTTCGACACTGGAACAGTCGGAGGATCTGTTTGTTGCTTTGGACCACCAGCTTTCCCACGTGGTTTACGTTTTTTCTTTTTCTTCTTAGCATCTTCAGTTTCTGCATCATTTTCGGTTCCTTCCACGTCACCTTCTATAATACGACGTGTATCGAATATCATATGTATAAATAATTCTCTCAAAAAAGTATAAAAAAAATACCTTCATCTACAGCATTAGCAACTTTTACTTTGTCTTCCTCTCCTTCTGGGACATCTGCACTTGCTTTACCAGCTCCTAAAAAATATTTATGTGGAAATTATGAAAGTCCTAAGATATTAAGCACGTAAATTCCGATACATAAAACTTGTTCGCTAATACCGCAAAATTTAACACGCGAAATGTTTTTACACGCGTGGAATACTTAAATATATCATGAAATTAACAAATTTTCCGCAAGGCAAACTTCTTCCGTGAAGGAGATGATAGCACGAGGAAATGCAGGTGCAAAGATGACTTCCACGTTCCGCTGCTTATGGACATGTTCAGTAATAATTTATGTCATCCATGAATTAGCAGTGTATTAAATAAATACAAAACAATTTCACAACAGGTGGAATGATAATATAAAATAATATCATGAAAGATTAAATGTTGTTGCATGCGTACGCACGCATCGTTTTCAGAAACGGAAAATCGAAACTACGACAAGACACATGATAATCCCTACTAAACTTGCGTAACCGATTATACACCTAATAATACGGAAGGTAACATACCAGCCTTCTTCTTCTTTTTCTTCTTTTTTTTCTCCTTCGATGCTTCTACTGCACCAGCTTCATCTTCTTCATCGACAATTACGTCTTTTTCCTCGTTTACTAATTTCTCGGCAGATTTACCAACTTCGTCCAACACGGCAGCCATTTTCAAGAGGAAGCCAAATAATGCTATACTACGAATTGTAAAGCAGTCAGCCGATAAAGTAGGAGCAACTTTTCTATGTCCTTCCTTTGAAATGCTAATAATAGCATGAAGAAAGTGCTGCACTAAAGAAATGCTAACATCGATAACTTTTTGAAACATTTGTAATGATTTTAAAAAATTAATGTCTTTTTATAAATTAAATTTGATATTGGCTTAAATTTAATACAAGAAAGAAGGTGTTGCATATTAGTGTTTCAAATAAAAATATTAAGAATGTTATTTAGAGAATCGTTTTATAATTATATGTACAAAGTATTACATAGAAATAGGGATTGAACAAAAAGTCCCATTTTGTAACTATTCTCATAACATTATTCTCATAATATTAAAAATAAAAAGTTCTTAGTATAGGATACCGATTTTCATGGGAGGAATCCTTCGATATATGATACGTGTATAATTGATTTAATAACAATAGTTTATCCTACAGAAGAAATAATTAATTCGGCGACATCTGGATCTGGGCATAGAACAGATAGTTGCATCGTTACTTGACTGTCTGATAACGCTAATCTTGCACGAGCAAGAACTTCTTTTCCTCCTCTGAAAATGCCGCTAAGTAATAAATTATGCGAAGCAGCGCCAGCCTGAACTCGACTGGTTCGATCTACAGCATCCAAGCCTAAAAATCCCGTGAGACTTTGTATTGCCCCTTCTAAACTGGTCACTGATGGGCCTAAAGCAAAAGTTTCTTCCAATTTGGTATATCCTTTCTCAACGCCAGCATCCCATGCAACACCGAAATCTAATCCTCTATTTCCAATTCCTCGAACTTGATCAGCCAAAGTCACTTCTAGATCCTCTAACTGAAAATCATACATATATATATTTTTTTAATTTACAAAGTTTCTTTCTTTAGCGAACCAGTGTCATAACTTATCACACAAGAGTAAATAGAATTTTCAGAAATAGAAGTCTGTGAAAATTGAAGTTTTGGTATATCGATGGAAAGGATTAAAGTAAAAAATTTAAAGAACGTAAGAAGTATGTGCACCATATATTCATCGTTGTATCCTTGATCAGCATCCGGGACACCTGTCACAGGATCGCATTCACGAGCCGTAAACCGTAAGGTTGTAGGCATAGTAGCAACGCTAGCATGAACATCATCCGGATATGTTAATACTGTATATATTGTACCTAATTCGTTGTACGGTAGACGCTGGCATGACGTTTCCAACGTAATTGTATAACTAAAAATACGAAAAGTATATTACCTTTTGGAAAATACGATAGTTTAAAGAAGCATTTTGCGGCGTAATTACCCTTCCGGTGGTTCGACAGCTACTCTCACATTCTGAAGTAACTGATCGGACAGAGTATTTATGCAGTCGAATTGCAAAACAAGAACTTTCGTGAACGTATGCTTAATACACTTAACATTATATTCTGTTTCCGATTCTGTTAATTCAAAGACAGGCGAAGATTTAAGTAACGAAGAATCGCCAATGAATATTGCTAAATATGGTATTTGTGATAATTTTTCCATAAAGCTTTCTTCTCGTGTTAATCGTGGTTGTTGTTTCACGGTACTATGTATTTCTATTTGTGTTGGTTCTTCGGCTGTTTGCGCTGGTGGAATCTATATGAAAGACATAAAAGTGAACGAATTAATTCGTTAAATTTATACGACTAAAATAATATACTATTGAAATTTTGAAATTTTACAACTCTGATTAGTTACCTGTGAGATGTCGAATGGTTCCTCCATTGTTGTTTGCATATAATTTCGTAATGCTCGTTCTAAGCTAGGAACCGAGAGGAGAGGAGGCTGTACTAAAGGTAAAACGGTTGGTTCATTTTGTTGCTGTAAAATAGTGCAATAGTAAGCTGCACGATCACGGACTTCATCGTCCGAATCCAACTGACAACGGGATAAGAGAACCAGCACATTTGGTAACAACGGTGGACATGCTGCGGCGAAACGTGCTAACGCAGTAACTGCTGCAGCACGAACACTAGCGCTTTCTAAAATCACGCGATTGTAGATGAAACGAATATATCGGGATGGTTGTTTCGAAGTCGGTCCCTCCTGGCCGAGTAAGTGAAGAATGCGAACTGCAAGCGAAATATGCTCGCAATCTTCGATGAATTCGCACAAATGTGCTAAACCTGCTTCCTTTGCTTCAGCATTTACTTCCATAACAGCTATTATCGTATCTGCGATTGCTGCCTTGTACTCTAGACCTCCTTCGTCTCTTAGCATAGCAGAAAGGAAATTCATCAGAACTGCGTGTTTCCGAGGGAACTTCTGACACAGAGCCCTAATAGGAGGATTAAAGAAAAACTGTAAAATCTTATTTTTGTTTGAATTTACGCAAAACTACTACTAAACTACAATAGTAATATTACCTTATAGCTTGTACAACTACAACTTTAAATTCATCGGAAATTTCCGATACGAACGTAGCAATTTGCTTCATTAATCGATCTACCGAACTTTCTGCTCCAGTTTTTAATAAGGTTGTAATCGCCAGTGTGGCAATAGATCTGTTCGAGTCGGTGATTAGATTTTCTAAATCTAAATTGCACGCAGTAACAGTAGCAGGATCAGATATGGCAACTTTATTCAAGGTTCGGACAGCGGCAAATCTCAGAGCTGGTTTCTGAGATCCACAGAATAATTGAAGAACGCTAATAGCAGGTGCTATTTCCGTTGTGCAATTTCTTCCAAGATTGAGCAAGGCATGTGCTGCCTCGTACACCACCATCTCTGACTTATGACGTAAACAACATTCAATAAATTTCAGCAATTCTCCTCCTTTGTCGCTTCCATCTAATAGTTTACGCGATATTCTAATTAACAAACATCCTACATAAGGACTTTTTGGACATGTTCTCAAATGCTTAGCAATTAACTTAATTACAGCATGCTTATCTGTCTTGCGTGCTTCGTATAAAACACCAAGAGCATGGTACTGAACCATTACATTATTAGAATTTAATGCCTCTTGAGCTTCATTTGCCCATCTACGTGCAACATCTCCAGACACATTGGTCAAGTGTAAAGAAGAGACTAAAGCAGCACTGGAAACAGCAGAAGAGCGATCCACGATAGCTTGTTTCATATAACGTTCAATACCTGCTAGCATTCCAGCATCGGTAATAGTACATAATGCTCTTATAGCTGCAGCTCTATAAGAATCTTCTTTTCCAGTCATATCCTTTGTTAGACTCGAAGTGACTATGATCACATCTTCTGCCAAAGAACTCAATTCTTTGATGCCTAGATAGACCAACCTTCTCAGGACAACGTCTCGAGACTGAAACAACTTGGTCATGGCAAAAAATGCTTCCGTTGCTTCCATTGTACCCAATTGTTCTCCTTGATTCAATAGGTACAAAATTTTCGTAAGAATGTGCGCACATTTTCTTGGATTAACAGGGGTGTCGTTGAATGTACGAGCTTCCTGAAGAACGGTCGTTTTTTCAAGATTTTGGAAAGGGTTTCCGCCACCTATTAACATAAGAATCACATAAGCAAGTGCCCAATGAAGTTCATCGTGCACGTATTACTCTGCCGAACGACATATATAAATCGATAATTGAAAAGAATAAAAATCAAGTTACGTGAAATAAAAGAATTCATCGGAGAAAAATTATCTTCCACGACGAGCAGTCGTTTAAATCTGTTTACAAGGAACTGTCACAAGAATAATACCGATCTGTTTAATTTCAATTAAAAACATAAACTTATGATAATATGAATGGAACGATATTTATTTATGATTACCATCTTCTTCCTCCTTCTTATCGCGTTTAAAAGCATTCATTTTGTAAAACCACTGCCGGAAAACTGGAAAATAGGAGACACGTCACCGCAACTCTTTCACATGGGCACCATTGAAATGTCTTCCGCCATGTTATGTAGCGGTAAGGAGACGAAACTAAACGTGTACTTTTAAAATGGCATTACAGTTCTGGTTTGTTCGTTATCCACCGTCGATAAAATCAAATTTTCCCAAGATACGGCAGCTGCGTTACCGCGAAACGTGGATACGAATTACATAACCTATAAAAGGAAAATACTCCCACTACTTTCCTTAACGACTAACGAAATGGAGAAAATAAACAAGGAATATAGAAAGTCTCGATATAGCCGTAAGAAACAGAGAAGAGAAAGAAAAAGTACAAATGGAAAAAGAATAGAGAGAGAGAGAGAGAAAGAAAAGGTACAAAATTTTCATACTGTATTTAATACAATTTTATAAATTCTTTCGAACAATATTAATTTCATATATGATAGATCCTAACCCTGTTTTAAATATAACGCGTTATTACCCTAGGACTAAATCTACAAGAAAATATCGTTGCGTTAAAATTAAAATTCTTTTAATAAGGCACTGTTTATATCCGTGTTTGTACAATAGAAGTCATTTCTCGCCAATCCTCCACGGTATATATAAGATTTCACGGCGAACCGTGACTTTTTCCGTCACTTTCTCTACAATCGACAATTACGCGTAATGTCCTTTGGCACATGGTTAATCAATTTTTATTTTTGCCGTAGATCGTCACTTTCACCCGTACCTACTGATTCGACGATCTAACAAATTTTAAGGACACTCACAACTTACATATCCCGACCAACTCATTCGTTCTTTACGTTGCCTTTCGATTTATACAATTCCTTCAAATCGGAAACAGTATTTTTTCCGCCATTTGTTTTCGGGGGTCGCCCTATCCTCTGTATAATCCCATTATCCTTCCACTCGGTCGCGTTCTTCTCACCTGACACGTCTTCCAGGGCCCCCCGATCCTCAGTCGAATTTACCATTTCTTCGCTCCACTTTGTCAACCATTCGCTGGCTACAGTCTGAAAGAAAAATGACGGCACTCGCAAGTCTCCCCAATTACCAAGTCCTCGGGAAAATTTACCTTCTTATCGTCATTTGCAGGCTTGGCCACCGTCTTCAGCTTCTCCCCCGTCTTCTCCAATCTCTCCAGCTCCTTCTGCAGTTTGCGTTCCATCTGATACCTGGCCACGGCTTGGGCCAGCGGCCCAAGCTCTCCTCGCATAGCCGCGCTCAGCATCGCCTGTTCCAACGCATCGACACGGTATAAATTTACTAAATTTGCCAGAGACAATTGTCCCGATAGGTACTCACGTCTCGACGTCTCTTGGACTCGGCATTGCCGATAGGATCGGTGTCCGTTTGCGGTCCCAGCTCTAACAGTACCTGAAAATCCGCATGCTCGCCGAGCCGGAAACCCACGCCGATCCTCGAGTCGGTACCTGTCGCGAGGAACGAGGGTAAGAAAAGAACTTGAGCGAAGCAGGTTTCCACGATTCGAAGCGTGGTTCGATCGCTTGGAAAGAGCCAGACACTCGTGACCAGTGAAAGTGCTATTAGCGTGACGCGATAAAAGCAACTGGACGCAGAGTTGGCATATTTGGGAAAAGATCGACACGGTGGAGCCGTGACGCAATTCCTTTACCTTTCTTTATCGGCGGAATATTGGAGTAGATCAGCGAAAGTATGGTGGGCAGCTCTTCCGGGATAACGAAGCCCGTCGCGTCTGAAACGATTAGCAAACGTCATTCCATCGGATTTTCTCGCGACGTCCACCTCCGACGTTGACCGCCATTGCTCGCTATCATGGTCGTCACGATAACACGGGTTTTACGTAAGATGCAGGAGCCTCTTTCCGCTGGGCGGACTATGATCGAGGATCTTTGCGACACGGGGGCAGAGTTTGCGATGGAACTAGGCGAAGGACGCGTTATACTTACGACTCGGAGGAATCGTCACTCACGTTCGTAAAGAAGCAGCAGGATGCACAGCTTCACCGACACGTCCTTCAGCATCTTTTCATCTAACGGATCTCCCGTGCACGCATACGTACATGTACTACCTTGTCAGTTCGCTCGTACTAAAATGGCCCGTGTCAATTTGCAGGTAAAGGATCCCAGCTGTGTACTCTCTTCGCCTTTCCGTTTCTACGAGGAAGCAAATGCGATACCGGACGTTAGAAACGGACGCGTGGAAATTCCGGACACGAAGTCGGATTTCGCGGACAGAAGTCGAGGAATCTCGTATCCCTGACGCACTGGCGATCGATCTGGATCGGACGGTCGATGGACTCACCGGATCTCCACGGCCGCGAGAACGTTCTCAGACTAGACACGCGTCCGATGCCACTTACGCGAAAGTGAAATCTAAATGTCGGCCTGACCGGTAATGTCGTGCCGGCCTACTCCGGCGGACTAAGGCACGATGCTCGATAGAATGCAATCGCGTTCCTCGGCAGCGCCGGTGCGAGAAAGAGCTCTGGAAAGAAGTGCTCGAGTGAAAGGAGACGTTGGATCGGGGATCGAGGTCACTCATGGATCGGGGATGAACTCTCTCTCCATTTCCTCGTTGCCTTCTCCTCCTTCCTGTTTCGGACCCCGCGGACGTGACTCCACGACGTGCCGTTTCTCGTCCAGAGTTCCACGCTTCTTCCCAAAAGTTCCGCAATTCCTTCGCTAGCATATGGACCAGACAGAGGTCTACCGGGAGTTCCTCGATCTTGAACTTGGAACAAACGGTGCAGCATCCGAAATGATAGCTTTAGGTCTACGTAGACGTAGAGAAGGCACGAGGAATATGGAGAACGGATTTATTTCACGAATCATCAGCGTGTCACGATTACAATGGCTTGGTTGCGTCTTCGGATTTGAACCCAGTCGGCGAGACCTTGAGCGACGCCATCGCGTTGCGTAAAATTATGTAAAAGTTTCACGGGAAATTACCGTATCACGTGAGGTGGCAGCAATTTCTCGGCACGTAATACTTCTTTATTTAATATAATCCATTTTGGTGCACTCGAACGTCCGGAGTTGCTCGGGGTCCGCTGGAGGGTCTAGCAGGAAAAGGACGGAAATTACGCGTTCGCTCGATCGAGCAACAAAAGTGAAACTTGGTTCGCCGATTAGCGTTATTTCCAATGACAGCTGGAAATCTCGATTTCCTTCCTCGCGTTCGACGGAGCCGTTTAACCACCGTTTCACCGACTGCCATCGTGATCGGCCTGTGCTTTGTCCGGCGAGGAGCAAAGTGCGATCTTCTCGGAGAACCGGGATGGATTTTACGCAACACTGTTGCATAACGTGCCAACGGATCGGTATGTTTCATTGAGGAATAGCGAAATTGAAGCTGGTATGCGTGTGCTCGTAACACCAAACGGGTTTTTTCATCCGAGCGCGTGGCTGCCAAGCTTTTTGCCTCTCATCGCTGCGCCGATTATGAAATTTTACAACGATTTTCGTCACTGGTAATCCAAACGCGTCTAAACGTAGTATATACGAGCGTGTACAATTTCAATCCTAACGAGAAACGATATTAATTTCGTTAGCAGTGGCATTTGGACCGGTTTGCCGGTCGCAGTGTCAAGGGAAAGGGAATTTTTCTGAAAACGCGAGAACAGCTCGTGCCGTTGATACGCGTGAGAAGAATCATCTTACGACTGGATGCAAAAATTTGTTGCAATTTCTCGAACGAAATTGCAGCCTTTATTAAAAATGCGTAGGGAACCATCCGTATAGTAATAGCAACGAAATGTATAAAGTTTATTGTCAGCGAAAGCAAATATAAAAGAACGTGTGGGGGTTCGTCCCCCCTTCTGATTGTTGTCGTGTGGTCAGCAGGTGTCCTGGGTGTGGCGGTGGTGCTAGAAGGGACGAAAGGACAAAGGAAGGGATGCGTTTCGTCCTGGGCCTGCCAGTGGACTCATCGATAAGGCTACCTAGCAGACCCTGCCTTAGACGTGGATGCTATTGGAATGTTGGGAAATTCTATGTATAGGAAAAGGAAGGTTTTTACCCAGGACTTGCGAGAAAGTCCTCGAACCTCCTTCAAGTAGGAATGCATCTATAGGCGAGGGTGAGAATGATGCCGCCACTAATGTATGTGTCCTTACGGATTACAATAATGCCCTCAGTATTGTACCACGTTTAAGACTGAGCCTTTTCACAGAGGATATTACAGAGGATATTTTCTTGTAACGCAAAACCCGTAGCACGACTTCTTGACAGCCACCCAATAGGGAACGTCCCGGAGACCCAAAAATCGCTATTGGCCTGCAACATACCTGGCATGGTCGTTGCAAGACTACGGTTTGTTACACTTTTGAAATTTAATCGGAACGAAGGAATCAAGATTCCTGCTAACGAAAATCCTCCATCCTTTCAGATGCTTCTCAACTCTCTATATGTAGATAACCGCGATTCAATGCCGAGGAAAATGAAATAGAGCAACGAGTATGCGTAATAAAACTTGGTGATCGCGCAGCGCGAACAAGTTGCAATTTAATTAAGCTACATACCTGCGGACCTTTCTTTCCCGCTGCGGAGGTGTTTGACCGGGCATAAGGCCGGTTCATTATCATCGAAAGTAATTTGTAAATCGTCGCGAGGGGGCGACACCTATGTAAACGATCCGATTATTCGACGGTCGCCCCGTTACGATACGCGTCACGAATAGATTAATATATCCGGCGAGTTGCTCCGCGTTGCTTTTAATTACGATTAAAGTGTAACGCCACGATGGCGGATACTTGCCGGTCAAACGCGAATTTTCGCGCCGAAAGAAGCGTGCACGGCGACATTGTCCATGCTCTGTCATACGTTGACAGAGAAGGTTGAACAAGCTGGCGATAGCGTTATCAGTCGTAACCCACAGTTTCCTCGTCGAACATTCAGGTCTGGCCGCGCATAACGGTTCAGTACGGTAAAATACCAACCAACGACCAACTTCTTTTATTACTTTCTACAATGGAGTCGTTTCGTCTTATTTAGAGAATTGCAAGAGAGTAGACCGGTTTCACGAATCTGCCGAGTGTCTCCCGACTTATCCGCGCACGATCGCCTCACGGTTTTACATAAATCCGGTATCGAATTGGAATCGACTGATCTTTGCGGATCCAGCCGATCGTCGCGCTGTTCGCTCGAAATCGAAATCTGGAACGGGGCCCGTGGATTTGCAACATTTCGATGATAATGCGAGTAGCCGAGCGGGATCGATGGCTCGTCGATCGGTCGGGATAATCGACGTTTTAAACGTATTAACGTAAGTCGCGTACCGCCAGCTACCGGCGGACTAGGCAGAGTCGAAGCTGGAGAGGGGCACGTAGATAGCACGTTACTCGTTCCTCGTTCTATGCAGCTCGTTTGTCGTTCACCGGTAGTTGACGATCGCGCACCAAGTCGTCGCTTTGGCCTGCGAAGGACGCGCGCGTCGATCAATCGTCCTCTCCACGACCGTCGACTGCACGATAGCTCGCGAATGTCAGCCGATTCCGCGGTATCGTGAACTTCCTCTCGTCATGGGACAGTCTGCTGGCCGAGTGAGTATCGTTCTCCGGAATACGCGGATCGCGGTCGTTGTGGTTTGTCGGTTGTCGAGAAATTTGGCAGGAACGTCGCGTTTTGCTTCCATTTTCGTTTCGTTTCGTTTTGCTCGCGTTTGGGCTGCGACGCGACAGGTAGGTCGAAGGTACAACCGGGAAGGGGGAAAACGTGGATCGCAGATAAGACCGCGCGTTGCTCGGCCGAAACAGTGACAGGAGATAAAGGTCGATTCGGCTGGTATCAGCCATATGCCGTTTCCTCGCTGCACTCTATCTACGCTTCTTCCAACAGGTGCTCGGTCTGGATCGCGAAGGACGACGCGGGTGGGGCGGGTAAAGAGGAAAAAATGGTAAAAATGGGAAAAAGATCGGTGGCATTGGTCTGGACGTATTTGTCCGCGTTACGAGTCCCCTTCCGTTTTTGCCGGATAGGAAGGAGCACGAGGAGCACGAGTGTTTTCTGCGCGCGTTAACGTGGCTTATTTTTCGCGTCCCTCCGACTCGCGAGAACTGCGCGACAGATGTACGGGACACGACGCGAGGCGCGACCTGTGGACACGACTAATTTTCTTCGCTCGCAAACCGTCGGCCTGACAAATGGCCTGGAATAATCTCCTTCCCGTCGTTAACGCGATATCTATTCGGGAAAAGATAAAGAAAAATAGAAATATAGATAAACCGCGAATAATCGTGGATCGCGTTTGCTCGCGCACCAGGATCATCGTGTAGTAACCTTGAACGTACGTTTCCAGTGAATGGTGAACGATGACAGTTTTGGCCCCTGGGGCCGAATCATCATCATCGTGGTGACAGCGTTGGCCATCGTCGTCGTCTTGCTCGTGATCGTCTGTTTCTTCACGCCGAGATGTCCTGGGTACAAATGCATCAGGAAAAGAAGTAAGCTCCGTTGTTTACTCGTTGTACCAAGACACGAGAAGGTAACGCGTGCGTTTATAATTTCGAGGACGCCACCGATGAGCGCTCGAGTACGCGAATTAATCTCGTCGGTGGAAGAAGAGGAGGAAGAAGCAGAAGCAGAAGGAGAAAAAAGAA